TCCCTCCCCGCCTGCGTTCACAGGTGGCGATGGCGACGGGGCAGGTGCTGTTTCATCGCTTCTTCTACTCGAAGTCCTTCGTCAAGCACAGCTTCGAGGTGAGCACGGCGCGGCCCGCTGCGCGAAGGGGCGGCCCCGGCCATTTCCCGGCCTCCATGCGGGGTGCGGCGGAGTAAACCCGCACTGGCTGCTCGCCCCGAGCCTTTAGGCCACGTTTCTTTCTACTGACATGATATTAATGTCGTCGTGGTTAGAAACCACTTTCTTACGGAAATGGGCTTCTTTTCAGATTGTTGCTATGGCCTGCATCAATCTCGCTTCCAAAATTGAAGAGGCGCCTCGTCGTATAAGGGACGTGATCAACGTGTTTCATCATTTGCGCCAGTTAAGAGCAAAAAGGTAAGATTAGCTTCGTTATCAATATAAGTGTCTATTGCCACTAATGCACACTGCAGTTCTCAGCTCACAGGATTTTTCCAGGCTAAGTTCAACGACCTAAAATTAAGAAGGGAGTGCTCCTTGGCTGCTATGTAGGCAGTACAGTCCAATGCTGACTTCTTCTAATGCGACTTTTGATGACTTGGTAGATGCACTTTTCTTACTAGCTGCAAGTCTTGAGTGTTGGCTGTAGTTTTAGGCCCGTTACTAGTTGAATTTGATGTCTTAGTCCTTGAATGGTAGTCCTAGGTGTAACTTGCCAGTTAGTGGATTGCTGCATGTGTTTCTCCATTCTTTTAACGGTATTTGGTAGTCCTGATGTTGTTCTCTTGTTAGTATGTAACTGTCTGTATGTGGTTATAGCAGCAATAAAGTATCAGTGTATAAAAGATGAAAACCGAGCTTTAAGTTATAATGCTATTACTTTTTGGTTGGAAAAAAGCAATTTAAAAAATAACTGAGTGTGGTTTGGCCTATAGTGTTTGCAGCTTTAAGGACATCACTTCAACAAGGAATGTGTAATTGAGTCTTGGAAGCTGAAGGTATCCTTTATTACCAAAAGTGAGACATGGGTTTTTACGGTACAGCGTGCTTGTGTCAGTTAGTAAAGTTGGAACATAAATTTAACCTGATCTGTTTGCAAATCTGAGTAATTCTGTCTGTTCCTGTTGTATAGCTGTTCTCAGTTGTGAATGCTTAATAATGGTTTTCTGGGTGTACAGCGATACATCTTTTCAAATGTAAAGCAAATTAGTGCGAACCTTTGGAAGGAGCAAGGAATGGATGAAGGGAAGGAGTTTGAATTACTGTTAAATGCAACGCTTTAACAGGAGGCAGTATTGCAGGCTTCTGTAAGACGTTCTTGGAGACGTGTCAGTTACGATAAAGTAGCATTAGTTCTAGTGGTTGTTAAAGTATAAGGTAGTCTATAGTTGTAAAGGGATTTTGTTCTCAGTTAGCTTCTTA